TTTGCAAATTATTTGACAATTTCCAGAAAAGTATTGTAAAAAAAAGTCTGCTTACATTTATTTCAAAATTTTTCAGAAACTCTTATATTGTTTGTTTCGTACATGGTCATATGCCATTTCATTGTTATTAATTACAATTATATCAATGTATAAATTGCATTCACGGTATTTTGTATTGTAACTGTTCCCAAACAAGAGAACAATTTTAGATCCTTCTAATGATGAGTAAAATTACACAAGGAGCAAGTGCACGTACCTTATAAACCTATGCATCCATGTATTAAAGGTAAGAGTTTACAAATCGATAAATTTTTAAAAAAGAACGTTTAATCCTATAATACATTAATTTTAAAAGATTTCAATGGTTACTGTGATTTGAAAGTTGTAAGACTATGAGGTCGCAAAAATCCTTTGCATGCATTTGGTTTTTAACGCACAAAATAAATTTAAATTTCAGTAGATACATATTCTTCACTTGAATTCCTTTTACTGATTTTTTTTTGCTGATAAACTTTCATCATTAATTAAATTGTCTGTGCACGTTTCACACTCACAAATCAGAAAACAGACTACTTTGATTATACTTTTCATTGAATTCATAAAAATGTACATGTAGCTTCAAACAATGCATGCAGAACATATCGACTATGTTTCATGAATTAACAATACATGTAGTTACTTTCATTCATATGTCGACTTGATACATCCGAGTGAACTCGAGATGTAAGACACCACAGAGACTGCCTCATAATAATAACATGTTTATGCCTCCCAACTCATTTGATACTCTAAATATGATAATTTTTAAAACCAAATCAAGTAACTGACAAACAAGTAGATGCTACAGGGATTCCAACAACCCTGTTTAAAGTAAGCTTTTTGCAAATTCTACGGTCGTTATAATGGCCTTGTTTGTAAACACAACCTATCGTGGGTCGAATTGTGTCTGACATATTTCATATCGTATGTTATGTCATTGCTTTTATCCTAAATTTGACTAAGGATAACTCTGTCCACCTGATCAATAAACTGGGCTCACGGCGAATGCAACCGGTTGACAGGGGATACATACTCCTCTTAGGTACCAGATCCCACCTCTGGCGTTTTAAGAGGTCTGTATTTATCAAATGGATATCTTTTAGTTATCTTGACCTTTTACCTTTGCTCTTCAGATATGAATACGAGTTCTCATTTTAATTTTAAGATTCTTCAAAAATAATTAAAGATTGATCCAAAAATCGTATTAGAGACTTTCCTGATCTGATGGCTATGTAGTTTTCCAAACATTCGATGTTTGTTTACCAGTAAAGTCATGTTGTAATAAGGGAAATAGGATAAAAGGGTACATTGATGGACAAAGGTAAAGAAAGACCTTGACGTTCTCATTTACAATATAAACAGTGTATATATATATATATATATATATATATATATATATATATATATATATATATATATATATATATATATATATATATATATATATATATATATATATATATATATATAAACGAGGGGTTATCAAAAAGTTCGTGGACAGAGGCGATAAAATTAGTACTGTGTAGTCTGTGCTTTCAGAATTTAAAAGGAACATAAAATAACAAAAAATTAAGAAATGTTGAAAATGTTAGCTTGATACGTTCATTACTTGCCAAATTATTATAAATTAAAAACGACATTATATGATCACCCGGCGCTGTCGCCGTTTAGTTTCATGACGTCCGACAACGTCATTGTTTTTCAATGTCCGCTTTTTCTACCTCATACACTTATCCTGATGAGATTTCCTGAAGCTGAGTAAGGACTTAAAACCTTCTTGTTTATATTACTTTATAATGTCATGAACATCTGCTTTCAATGCATATAATATTGCAAATGGATTTATACATTGGGAGAGATCCTCGCTTGATTATGCCAGCATATTTTGCTTTTGGATTATAATATCTACCACACATGCTTAACGTCATTCTTTGATGCGATTCTCGACTGATTTTTCACACCTTGACTACAAATCGACATTAACTGTGCATCCCTTTTCACTCTGATTCTATTTTCGCTTTAAAACAAGTACTCTGGATGCATATTATTTCTCTGTATCCAGTTTAAACATTTCCTAGGTCTGTACGTGGTTTTTCAGGGGCAAAACTTTATAGAATGTTGGAAAAAGAAACCCTCCACCTTTTTGACGTCATTTTCAAGCCCTTAATTGCTTGGACACTCCAGACAAAATTTGCGACAAAATTTCATAGAACTTACAGAATTAGGTAAAAATTGCTTATTGTACGGAACAATAGTGCCCCATCTTCTACCTGAATTAATGGGATTTTTGAATATCAAATGTTCATAACAAAAGAGTTTTTCTCAGTAACACTCAAGTCGAAAAACGTCATGTTCGAAGTTGCGCCGCCTGGACATACCATTGCTTACAAAAACATTACTAATTTATTAAAAAATAAAATTTATGATTTGTGGTATATTATTTATAGATAGAAAAGATGATGTTAATAAATATTTTAAAATTCATTGATGTACCTAAATCGGTTTTAATTTTATGGCGCTAGTCGATGAACTTTTTGATACCCCCTCGTATATATTTATATTTAAAACATGATTGTGACGTAAACCTTTTGTTTGTGTTGTCCATTCTATAGATTAATGTTGAGCTAACTCTTCAAATCCATTAAGTTACCTGTAAGTGTCCATTCTTTTTGGAAAACTGTCCATTCTTTAAGAATGGACAGTTTTCCAAAAAGAATGGACAGTTAAAACAAACAGAATGGAGAGTTACAGGTAAACTTTGGAATGTGTTCAAGAGGGAAACAAAAACAGATATATTAGATACTTTTTAATTTACATGTAAATAACAAAAGGAACGCGGAGATCAAAGTTAATCCAGAACACAATATCTGCACAGCATCCACTCGATTTTACTCTTTTAAATCTATGAGTAATGCACATTATTTCAATACTCAAAACTTAATTTTCACAAAACTTGAATTCAAATGACACAATTTCACATTTGATTACAATTTCGTAAAAATCATTCCCTCGAGGACTTCAGATAGAAGTACTTCTAATATTAAATCCTCCACCCAGAAAACTGTTTGCCCCATGAACACTACACTGCTGCAGTTAATATTTCGGTAGAAAATAAATAAAAATGAAACATTTGAAAAACATTTCAGGTCGAAGATTGGCTCATGGCTAATCCAACACTCAGAAAAGAATTTGCATCTAATATATTTTCAAAAATGGAATTCAAATAAAACATTTCCAAGTTTGATTCGAATTTGATCATCTGTATCTGTCGTCGAAGTTCATTTTTGGGTCAAAATTTGGGTAGTATTTCTTTTACTCTTACTTTTCTGTTTCCAGATCTAAATATCATTAATTTTGCGCATATTTTTGTTTATTAGATTTTGATTCTTTCATATACTCTCTCCATCACAAGTAAACATGTATGCCTTTACAACGCAAACTGTAAACTGATATAGAAGCATCGCATACTTGTATAGATACTAGTATCCCACAAAATCCACCTTTAACTGTCCATTCTTAAGACCTTTTTTTATTTGCATCTGGAAACACAATGGCTATTCAACAAATTGCTCTGCATCACTAGCTTACCTGTGACTGTCCATTCCGTAAACAATGAACTTGTCATTGGTTGTGTGCTACCTGTCATTTTGTACATTTTTATTTAATTTTCAGAACAAAGGAAATCATGTTTTCAGTAGGAGAAAAGCCTACGGCCCTCGATTAGTTCTTTCTCTCACAGAATGGAGAGTTTTCAGCCTTTCTCCTTTACATATATATATATATATATATATATATAGAGAGAGAGAGAGAGAGAGAGAGAGAGAGAGAGAGAGAGAGAGAGAGAGAGAGAGAGAGTAAAGTGTACTTGAGAACATATATCTTTAACGAAACAAAAAAAAAACAATCAAAGAATATAATTGCATAAGATAACTGTCAAAAGAGAGGGATTTTTCAAAACAATTTGTTTGAACATTTTACAAAAGCACATCATACCTATTTAAATCATGCATATCCTCTTATAATACATATTTATTTGTTTTTCATATGTCGCTATATTGATGGAAATATCAATAATAATTGATCTTTCTCTAAAATACAGTTAACAGATCATCAAAAGTGTAGACAGTCTTGTTACACAACTACATATAAAGACACTTTTTGCCCACTTATAAAACAATATACCTACAGATAAGGTGCTTTTTAATATCTGCAAAGATAATTTGGTCAAATACTACATAGTTTACAACGACTTTATACTCATTTATCTGTAATGTAGCACGCTGAAACCAACAAAAGTCATTTTATCCTATCAACCAATGTACAAGTACCTAAATCTCATGACCACAAAACAAGCAGATGTAATATCAGTGTACACACAGCTCTCCATTAGCCATGTTAGATTTACAGGTGAGACCAAATATTATGGACTTTTCATTGTCAATAAGGTACTATTTGTGCTTTAAGTGAATTACTAGATCATTGTTTTAACGTGGTCTTCAATTCGATATTTAGATATATCGACTACGTTTTATCAATTAACAATAATTACATTTGTTTAATTGTCGACTCTATGCATCCTAGTAAATTTGGGGAGAAACACCATAAAATCTTCAAATCTTTTTGTTATTGGATATCTAATTATTCTGACGAACTAAAAAATAAACTCACAAATGGGATCCATTATTTTTTTCCGTCGTTAACTTCCCTTATGTACCTTTGAAAATATATGTTTTGAAAATTAATGAAATCTCAAAGTTATTCAAAAATGGGTTGAATACCCTTTAAGTAACCGTGTCTTATAGTTTAAATAGTTTGCTTTCCAAGAAAAAAAATGTGTCAGCCAGGCAGTGATACATGTAAGTTTATGAATATTTTATCATAAATACAGACATTTAAACAACTTTTTATCGTCTTTTTTTCTTATTTCAGTAAAAACTGAGCATATGGCCTAAACATCAGTGATGGATCCCCGATATTGTGCTCAAGACATCATCAGGTGTGACCTTTGTGAGGGAGATGTAGTGCAAAGTCATTGCGAAGTTTGTTACACCAACCTCTGCAAAGCCTGTGTAAGGGAGCATCTTTCAGCTTCAAGCAAAGGACACAAAGTCGTGCCATATTCAGAAAGAAGAACTCCCAACAATCCAAAATGCAAAAACCATCTTAAAAATTGTCAATTGTTTTGTGAGAAATGTGACATTCCTGTCTGTTCTACGTGTATCTCCTCAGGTAAACATAGAGAACACTGTTTATTAAATATTTTTCAGAAACTTAGCTGTAAGACAAAAGCTATAAAAAGAGACTTGATAGAACTTGAGTGTAGAATTTATCCAAAATATGGAGATATTGCATTAGACATTAAAAACAAAAAAGACAAGTCGGATAATCTCTATCATAAATTGAAAATAGCCGTTAACAAACAAGGAGAAACCTGGCACAGAGAAATTGACATAATTGTAAACAAACAAAAGTCTGAAATTGATGACATGAAAACTATACACATGTCTATTTTAAATAAACAGGAAAATATCATCACACAAATTACCTCCAAAATGAAACAACGTGTTCTTGATTTGCAGAAAACTCTTGAATTTAATGATCTCTCCCTAGCACACAAATCCAGAAACGAAGAGTTCAGACGCTTACCTCCAAAAGTCAATGTTTCATTGCCAGTATTTTCTCCTCAGAAGATTAACACAAAACAGCTTAATCAACTCTTTGGTTCTCTGTCAGAATTATCAATGACAACAAAACATGGTAAAACAATTGAAACTCCAGAAACTGTTTCCTACCCTCAGGCCAGACCACTGCTTGATGAACCAGAGCTCATCAGCACCATAGGTGCTAAGAATAAACTATACAGTATTGCCTGTCTCAGTGATGAAGAGATTTGGACACGTGAGAATGACAGTATTATGAAACTCTACAACCTCCAAGGCAAACTAGTAAAGTCCATTTGGACCAGCTCATGGAAAAATACAGATGACATAGCAGTGACGAAGAGTGGGGATCTAATTTATACTGATTATAAAAGAAGATCAATTAACATAGTGAACAAGAGAGATATCAGTGAACTGATTAGGCTAGAGGGATGGAAACCAAGCAATGTCCGCTGCACATTAACTGATGACCTCCTGGTAATCATGGACAGTGATGATGGAGAGCAATCCAAGCTTGTTCGTTACGTTGACCAAATAGAAAAAGAAACCTTTCAGTTTGATAATACAGGTAAACCTCTGTATTCATCCGGTTACTTCACAAAATACATCAGTGAGAACAGGAACCTAGATATTTGTGTAGCAGATTATCTAGCCAAAGCAGTAGTGGTGGTTGATCAAGCTGGAAATTTGCGATTTAGATACACTGGTCATTCAACATCTATCAGAAATGTCTTTGATCCAGTCGGCGTTACAACAGACAGTCAAAGTCAAATCCTGACATCAGATCGTTTCAACAACTGTATCCACATCCTCGACCAAAACGGACATTTCCTTCGTTACATTAAAAATTGTGAACTACATCATCCATGGGGTTTATGTGTGGACACTAAAGACAACCTCTTTGTATCTGAGTCTGACAGTAAAAAAGTAAAACAAATAAAATACATGTAAATACTGCATCATGTCATGCTAGTGCATTGTAATAAGAAACGAAAAGTCAATACAAATATATATTGAAGTTATATAATCTAAAAACAATAGCATATAGAGTGATTTAAAGCAATATGTGCTGCATTTATGAGAATTTTATTTTGCTGTTAAAATGTGCTGTTATGATGTATCTGTATGTAATTTAAACCTTTATGATCAATGGAATGCATAGTATTATATAAGAAATCAATATTGTACAGGAATGACAATTATGTAATTTTGCTTCCATCGCAAATATAAACAATAGAAGTTTATAAACGTTCTTTTTCTCTGTCATTGAAATACTTAAAAGCGATTTTCTGTAACCACTTAAACTTCTTTGCCACGCATTGTCGTCGATTTTGATGAAACTTTGCCCATTATTACAACTTGACACAAGAAACATATATCAAATGAAATGTCGTTGCTATGTGTCTTGGTTGCCATGGTTACAACCAGAAAAGCTGGAAAATTGAGATTTTTCAGCTACTTTGAATTTTTAATAAGCTTTGATAAAGACTAAGAAAAACAAGCAAACCATTCTCACAAAAACATGACACCTTGTTGCCATTTATGCTATAAAGAAACTATTTAGAATATTTATCTCTAAGTAAGTGGTAGCCATGGGTACATTTGGAATACATTAAATGCTGAAAAACGCTCGATATTCACTAATGATAGGTGTTTCATGATCAAACTCAATCAACAACCTAAGAAAAACAATAAAAATAGATGACCTTAAGTTATTAGGTATTGGCAATATTATTCTAAAAATAACTTTCAGGGTTGCCATGGTAACACAGTGTAACCATGCAAAATCTCTAGCTAAGATTGGGTTAATGCTACTATCTTGAGGAAAAACAATAAAATTCATGACTGGCACATATACAGCCTTAGGATCATGCAACACCGAAAACACAAGAAAAAATGGGAATAATTGTTACTTTGCAGGGTAACCATGGAAACAACGTACCAGTCGTTTAAAGTGATATTTTTTGCTGCCTTAGGAATTTACTCCCCTTTTAATCAAGAAACATTATTTGACTTACCTTGAATAGTATTTATCGGGTAGAACTAAAGTTGAATATCATATATTGATAAAGTTTTGTTGAAAAATACAACACTGCTGCTATGGTTACCAATAAGGGAAAATGTTCGATTTTGTTGATTTTATATCAATATATAACCCTATGTGCCAGCTTCTTGCATCCAGTTATAGATCAGATGGTAGTCAAACTTGAAAGTCAGGTTAGTTGTTCATAAATATCAATCATAAAAGTTTTGGGAATCTACATACAAATTAAAGAATTTAAATATAATGAAATCGTAGATATTAAATGTGAGAAGTTAAAAGAATCACAACAGAATATGATTAAATTAACAGATCATAAAACTACAGACTTAAGCTTCTGAAATATTAAATACAAATGAAAAACATGTCGCTCGATTCATTAACTTTTAAAACATGGATAAAAATGAAAGAAAGACAAAGTAAAACTGAATATGTTTGTCTATCGCTACAATATATTTCTGCACACATCATGCATATATAAAATTCGCAGTGATTATTTACCATTGTGTCACAATTGTAATTTAATTATTATAAGTATTAAATATATGTTTTGCGCAATATTAAGGTAGGTTGCGGACTTAGTGCTTAAAAATTCTTACATTAAAGTCCAGGCTTTTTGATATCATTGACAGCTGCTTTTTCAATAAAAATGGAACTCGTAAATATACTTACCTTGTCATTGGTCATTTGCAAAATTATTTTGTTAAAAAACATTCTGATTGTACACACAAGTACTCTGAAGTTGACATTAAAAAGATGCTTGAGTTTCTGATTGACAATATCTATGTGGTTTTTGGAGACCAGGTCTTCCAACAATCTATTGGAATACCTATGGGTACCAATTGCGCCCCATTATTAACAGACCTTTTTTGTATTCATATGAAGCAGAATTTGTCCAAAAACTTGTACGTGAAAAGAAGAAATCACTTGCTGTGGCGTTCAACTCGACATTTAGATATATCGACGACGTATTGTCAATTAACAATGGCTATTTTCATTTTTATGTCGATACGATATATCCTGGTGAACTTGAGATAAAAGATACCACAGAGTCCGACACATCTGTTTCATATTTGGATATTTTACTTGAAAAAGACGTTAATGGTAATCTAACAACCAAGCTTTATGATAAACGTGATGACTTTAACTTTTCAATCGTCAACTTCCCTTACTTATGCAGCAATATACCTTCATCACCTGCATACGGGGTATATATCTCTCAGTTGATTCGATACGCAAGAGCATGCTCTACGTATGTACATTTTCTAAAACGAGGTAAATTATTGACAAATAAGTTGATGGAACAAGAATATCAGCTGTCTCGTCTAAAGTCATCATTTCGTAAGTTCTATGGTCGATACAATGACCTTGTCAGCAAATACAATTTATCATTGAGTCAAATGCTGACTGACGTTTTTCATACTAATTGTTAGGCCATTATTTACACACTGAATTGTCGACGGATTTTTCCGTTATTTCCCGATCATGACAAGGAGCACACGGCGGGTGTGACCGGTCGGCAGGGGATGCTCACTCCTCCATGGCACCTGGTCCCGCCTCTGATGTTTGGAGGTCCGTGTTTGCTCTGCTCCTATTTTGTATTGTATAATGGACTTTTGAGCTTGAGTACTGTTCGTTATCTCCATATATTTCATTACAAGAAAACATATTCTGAAAATTTGATATAACGTTCATTAGAATTCGCAGTATATTATCTGTTATTTTTATCAAATTTGCCAACGTAGTTTTAATGCTATACTACTGTAAACGCCGTATAGGTTTTAGTACTGTTTTTACGCTTTACTATTAAAATATATAGAAATATATATATAAAATATATATAAGCCAATATTACGGAAAGAGTTTCTTTAGAAAAGGTCGGATAACTTTTTTAAGACGTAGACGAATTAGTCCGGAATTTCAAAATGTCAAGATGAGGTGGAATTAAAACTATTGAGAAAAAAAAATGTATTCTGGCTAGATTTTTTGCTAAAAATTTTCAAAGTTTTGCATTTTATATTGCCAAAATGTTGCGTTTATGGCGTTATTTATCACAACGTCATATGTTGAACGTAATCGCGTTTACATATAAAGATCTTTATATTTGAAATATGCAAGATCTAAAAGGTGACATAGATTCAAAATGTTATTTTATTTATCATTTCACTTATTGCGGAAACATGTTAGGAAGACCAACAATTTATCTTCACTAGTATTGTGAAATTAATAGTCAGATTAAACGGTATATTGATATAATCATTCCTCGTGCATTATAATAAACATGCAGCGACAACACCGCGACTGATAATATATTAATTCATGTATTTTTAGGATGTTCATTTTCATTAAGATTTCAAGCATAACACATGGTTTTGATCACTTCATTCGAAAACGGTGAAGAAAAAAACACCCCATTACTGAGGAGATGGGGGGGGGGGGGTTACCGGCAATGTTTTTTTTTAATCAGTCGTAAGCCAGTATATCGCCCTAACTCTCACACATTAGTTAATTTTTATTTATCAAATTTTCATACGCAAAATGTAAAATACATGCATTTAGCTTATAAACAGACAGCTTTTGTTATATAGAAAAAAAAGTACTTGATACTGGTATATTATTATCTGTTTACAGTGTCATATAGGTCCGATAATAATAATAAATACATAACAGGAAAATGCATGTAATTAAATTTCACACTTTTTTATTGATTCCATTCTCCCCCGGATTTGACTGGCAAACATGGTGTGATATACATTTTACGTTCCCTTTGTACTGCAATTTACAACCTTTCAAGTTTTTGGCTATGCAATTTACTGTAACTTTTTTTGCATACCATAACTTTAATTAATATCGACTCATTTTAATTGACCTTTAGCACTTAACGATATAAATTATTCCTTACATTGGATGTAGTATTTATTACATTACACGCAATCCCTGCGGGCTGCAGAATTCAAACTTATAATACTAATTGGTTCTTACATGTCCGAGGTTTACGAACAATAACTTGTACTGTTTAATTAATATGTAATTCGTACGGACTATTGCTATGACGTTGCGCACGCTGTTGGTGTCAATTTCGGTAACATCAAAATAACGTTAGATTACGTTTCGTTATAACATTGAGTTAACGTCGTTTTTTGGTCCCTCGCTTTCACTGAAAGTGGGGGATATTAATGTGGGTCCGTCCATCCGTCTGTCTATCTGTCAGTCGGTCCCACTTAATTGGTTTTCCGCATTTTTTTTCTAAACACTTGCAGATATTGAGCTGATTTTTGGTATGTGAGTGTATTTTGATGAGTAACAGATCAAGTTTGCATTTCGATCCGCTTCAATGATTTTTGACGGAATTACGACCTTTTCAATTTTCCAGGGTTTTCGCAATTTTTTTTCTAAACGCTTGCAGATATTGAGCTGATTATCGGCATGTGACTATATACATTAATGAGTTATAGATCAAGTTTGCATTTCGTTTCGCTTCATTGATTTTTGACGGAATTATGGCATTTACAATTTTTAACGGGAACCAGATTACACTTGCCGGTTGGGGACTAGTATTGCTAATGCAATACTTTCAGAATGCTTGTTATTTTCTGGCCAATGTTATAATTATGTATCTTTTAATTTCATAGGTTATTTAGTTTTTCCTCATGCTTTGGGATTGGGATTTCTTCCTAAAAGTGAATTGAAATTTTTAAAATTGTCATCATTAGAATCAGTCTATGTGGATTTTATAATAATAAAAAAAAATGTAAACGAATTGCTGTCTTTACATAAGACTGAAATAGTTGACTTACGCATTTGTTGCTAACAGAAATTTGAAGCAAAGTTTAAGGTTGTATTAAAAGTATGTAGATGTCTTTTACCTTTATTTCTACGCAGTAGTAAAACCATCTTTGACATTGGTTGG